ACCCACACCCATACCCACACCAACACCTACACCCACACCCGCACCCACACCCACACCCACACCCATACCCACACCCACCCACACCCACACCCTGTACTGTTAACTAATTAAAATATCTTTAGCAACATGATTTCTGAAGTGTCTCAAACCACTCTTGAAAAGAATGCCAAAACACAAGCTCAAAAAATTAGGGATGTAGGTGGATGTGGAAATACCTCAATAATTCAAGGATTTGCGCATTTCCACCCTCATTTATCTTATCATTCTCAACATAAATAAAAATACATTCTATTCGCATTCCACTGTGAAGATATACCATCTGTTCATAATCTAGCAATGTCACATTTCGAAGATAACAAAATCAGTTCTTTTTTATTTAAAACGTTTGTCAAATAATTGAACAGCGTACGCAATTTAATTCTTATCATTGGATGACATGCCGATAAAATAAATTTTCACAAGGCTATTTCTTCATCCTATCAAATCCTACCGTCAAGATCAGAAAAACACAGCCATATCAGTGTAAAATGGAACAAGATTCCGTGAACAAGCCGCAACATCGAAGTCATTTTCGCCGTTGTTTTGTACTAACGAGTAAACATAGTTTAAAAATAATTTCCAGTTGTTTTCTGCCCCTTGTCCTGGCGATATTCACAGTAGTAATTACACTGGTACAAAAGAAAGATGCTGGTTTACAACGTCTTGAAGATCGAGAATTAGCTCGAGAACAACGACAACAAGATCTCAATATTTCTGTTATGACACGTGAACAAGATCGAGATATTGCTCGACAACAACGTGAAAACGATGAAAAAAAACGTGAGCAAGATTTACGAATTGCCAACGATAAGCGAAAAGCTGATGATGTAAATGCTGAAAAACAACGAATTATGCTGCACGAAATTGAAGAAATGCGGTTTAAACAAGAACAACACAGATACTTCGACGAACTTCTCGTCTCATACATGAATGATATAGGAATTCTTCTTGAGAAGAATAATGGTTCTCTGACATCAAATCCTGTCGTAGCTGCTCTTTCACGTGCTAAAACTCTTCAAATCGTTCCTATTATTGGACATACTCGAACGGCTAGACTTGTTTGTTTTCTATATGATGCTGGACAATTAATACGATATAAGAATCCACTTGATTTATCAGGAGCCGATTTTCGCAATGTTGATTTTTCGCTTTGGTCCTTTCCTCAAATATCATTAGCTGGAACACGTTTGCATAATGCCTCTTTCGCCGGTAAGGATATGTCTGAAGCTGATTTTCATAATGCCAATCTTACTGGCATTGATTTTCGTGGTACTCGACTTATCAAAACCGATTTTCGCTCTACTGATTTAACTGCAGCGAATTTCAGTCGGGCAACATGTGTCAATGTAACATTTGAGAGAGCAATAATGAATAATATCGTCTTCTCATATGCTGTTCTATCTTCGATTAATTTCACTCATACTCAATTGAATGGAGCCAATTTCAATAGAGCATATTGCCGTGATTTATTATTCGAAAATGGATCTATGGTTCAAAGTGATTTTTCTTATACCAATCTTTCATCAGTAGTACTATTTCGTCATGTGAATCTGACACAAGCTACATTTTATGCTGCAAATATATTATATTTTCTATCACGGCTTTCTTTCATCAAATCTACAATGAATTATGCAGATTTTCGGGAGACTCTTTTTTCAAGAAGTCAATATCTTGATTGTTATATCATTGGTGCTGATTTTAGTCGAAGTCATCTCGAAAATGCTCGATTTGAATCTTGTGATTTGGATACTGCGACCTTCGTGCATGCGAATTTGGACTCAGCCATCATCGCTAAAAGTTCATTAGCTTTTACTATGATAGCAAATGCTCGACTTTCATATATCAAGTTTCCTCAATCTGATTTGTCTTATGCTAATTTGTCGGATGTCTGCTGCGATCCTTTTTGTAAGACTATATGTGGAAAAGACTGTCAATGGCCAGATATTCTATCGATGGAGAACATGGTTCTATGTAACGAGACCACTTATAATAGAGGACAAAGTATTGGAAAAATCCATGTGCACTGCAATCGATCTTTGAAAGACTACTGGGAAAAAGTATCATACTATGAGCCAATGATCACACCGTTAGATACGAATTCATGTATCTTAACTCCTTCTTCAAAATTTTCGGATTCTTACGTTTCAACAAGTATAGGTGTCCACGGTTTCGAATGGTTCTTTGAAACTCATCATACGATAGCGATTCGAACCCGAATGTCTGCCGGAATAAAAATTTCAAGTCTTCTTCATAGTTATGGCGAATATCAAGCTGCAGATCTTCAGTTTCTTCCAACGAATTCCGGTTTTTTACGATCGAAATTGAAAGTAACTCTTGCAGAACCAAGGACGATGGAATTGACTATCAAATTTCATGCTGATTCCAATTATTTGTCGTTATGGTTTCAGTATATAGAAATAGCAATTGCGCCTCCTCTACCAAGATTTTGATCTATTTGTCGTCGATTATCTAAGCATTATTCGATTGAAAATGAATAAAATGCGAAATATATACCATCTATACTCGTAAATAAATTTTGTACAAAACATGATAATAAACGGGTGAATGCGGATGTAGATAAGGAGAATAACTACATCTATATCCATACCTACTGTCTATGGATGCGGGTGTGTGTGTAATCCTTCTTTCAACTCACACCCACACACCCACAACCCCATTCACACCGACATCTACATCCGCATCGAACCAACAACGCAACGGTCAAGTTCAGTACTTACACAAATTAAGAGAACATTCACTCTAAAAAGGGAATTCATCTATAACTCAAAAGTTTTGTAAATAAACATTTGCCTGAAATTCATAGTTTTAGATATTCTAAAAACCATAAGAAAATTCCAATAAAAAAAAATAAAAGCAAATACATATTTCTGCCTTACGATTAAAAATTCAAAAACAACAATTTCGACAAAAATTTAGCATATTTCTTCATCACAACAATTCATCAACATCCTAACAACTCGAAAACTACTTGAAGATTACCTTAGACACGGGCCGAGCCGGCCATAAGTCACCTCGAATTATTTATATGATAAACACATTTCCATCTACCTTTCGTTTGTAAGAGCGTTATGTCGCTTATATCTTCGCACCATTTCGGACGTGAACACAATAAAATTATTAGAAGATACTTTTTGAAAATCTGAAACTGATCATAGTAGCTACAAATAATGAATTAATTCTTCAAAAGTAATTTTTTCGATTAGGAACATACTCATACCCATACCCAAACTGAAATACAGAAGTATATCCATTGATAAGAATGCAAAATTTAATATGCGAAAAAAATAGCTGTGCCAAAGTAAAAATTTGAAGTAGATAAATGATGAATCAATAATTATTATTTATTATGAAAAAGCACTAAGAAGATCTTTACTTTGCCTCTAGTTTAATTTCGTTTTTATTCTACCCATTCAAGAGGTAAATTTGTACGAAGTGTTAAGACAACCGTTGGAATAGCATCCTCGATAAGTTCCGGTTTGATGATCAAATACTCAAAACCCACCCGATTGACTATTTAATATTGAGTACTTAGCATTCCCGATACTGATTTCTATACTTCGTGCATCAATTATCGACGTTCCATAAATAGTTAGTAAGAAAAATGACATCAAGACAATGAGAAGTCGCATGTTTGTCAGCTTCGATCAAGAAGATTGACTTAAGATATCTAAAATAAAACAAATTTACATACCTTCTACTATGTTCTTAGTCAAATGTATATCAGAGATGGAAGGAAGGAAAGTACGGAAAGTATCAGTTCTTATATTTTGTACATGAAAGATATTAAAAATACCAGTACATGTCCTTTCGTCATAACTCTTCTGTATACATCCATATAAAGAATCTACTTAGCGTTTTCAGTTCTGTTGGCATTGAGACTAGGACTGAGATTTATAGTTGTTAAATTTGGTCATGGCGAATTTTATTTTATTAAAAATTGGACCCTACATCTAGATCCTTCTTATTTTGTTGTAACTAAAACAATATACTTTTCTTCCACTTTCATTTACAAATTCGATAAAATATTTTCATTGCTCACGATGTGGATTTCAAGAATCAAGATTTTTTGATGATTCTTATAGGTTTTTGAACAATCGCTTCAGGATATTAAACATCAGTTTAGTTCGAAACCAATTTAAATATTCTTTCGATCAAATAGCTTTCTCGCTGGTTTTCTGTTTCTATTATGAAATACTTAATAGTGTTATATCTTACCAAACATTACTTACCTTTAGGACGAGAGAGAGATACAGAATTGAAGCTGTACAAAACTTGTATTGAAATCTTGGTTTAAATCAAATCGAAATTTCGACGACTAAAGAGAACGAAAAGAAAAATAAATTGAAGCGGACGAAAGGTAGGAGTAAAAGAAAGTAATTGAAATTTGGCTGATATGGGGTCAAGAAAAGCATTCGAACAGGATCAGGATAAAAAAAAGTAATATTGCAGATCCTTGGTTAATATTAGCCTTTCATCTACAATCAAAACACTAGAGACTAACCATAATTATCAGTGGCAAGCAATATATGAAGGTGGAACAGCTTAATTATTACATGCACTCTTAATCTATTAGTGGATGAATAAGTATTTGGTATAGAGAAATTTTGTTTAGTAACCATATTTTTCATATTCCAAATTGTATTCAGCGAATGATTATCAAGGTGGTGTTAGGGTTTGCATTCGTGAACAAAGACGAATACTAGTTATTACAGATGAAAGTGGATGTGTATTAGTTATCATGAGGGTGCGCGTGCGTGTGTGTGTGGAAATGTTTGTCACTGTTAGCGAAGAGAAGATGAACTAAAAGATTTTCACCCACACCCTTCTTTTAAAAAATATAAAAAGAAATAGTTAAATATTTCTTGTAAAAGCTTGAATTTTCACAAAAAAAGCCGAGAGTCAAAGGAATAATGAAGACGAGTAGAAATAGATATACGCAATGTTATGCATGAAGAAACCAAAGACTGTCAATGTCAATCGTTTAACTAATAGGTTTACAATAATCAGCAGATTCTATCAACTCCATGAATGAGAGGTCTGAGGCAAAACAAACTTGAAGATTTGCCATCATTCGATTTCAGAAGATTTTTTCTTATATCCCAGAGACACATGGCGCAAGTCTAAAACTTTCAGTATTTATAGAGTAGATGCTACACTACAATTTGGTTAAATTGAAATTAAGAATATATATAATAAAAGAGCCTGCAAGAGTTTGATTGAAAATGGCTTGCACAACTTTCAAAGTTGCTTGACTCTCAGCTATATAGGTGCCCTCGACCACCCTCTGTATTATGGTGAAATGAGCGATTCAATAGCTTACAGCGTGACAGAGTTTTTAAACAAACAATCGAGCTCACTATATTTTGAAATGGATAATACTGTTTTGGGTTGAATAGTTCATAAATATAATACATTTTATTTGTTGATAATAATCTTCTCGAATTATCGGAGGAAAATAAATTTTTGAATTTTTCCATTCTTTTTATTTCTTACAATGGATAAATGTATGCAAAACCAAATAAATAATCTTGCCAAATAGAATCTAGTTATTTTTTTGTAAAAATTTCCCACTATTTTTTTGACTTTCAGGTGCAAGGTAAATTAAATCGCTAAGAAAACGTAATTTAATATCGTATAATGAACATTATCAGCTGAATTCCGAAGTAATTTTGATATATTTTGTTTCTGTGTTGAAAAAAAACTCGCTTATATTCTCAATTTTTTATTGAGCTCTTATTTCTTAACTTCCTTTCTGCCTGAAGTACCTCTTAATATGTAAAAATAATATTGAATATTTTTGCTAAATATTGTATTTTACTTCAAACCGTATATAATAATGTGCAATTATAAAACCATTTGAATGAAATAAAACTAGATTAGTCAATACTGAAAATAAATTGTATATTTGCATGACATTAGGTTTTTCGTCTTTACATATTAATAATGAAACTTTTTTTTTCGAAGCGTAATGAATAATCAAAAATTTATTTGATAAAATGTTCGTTCACTATTGAATTCGGTTGAGAAAAGAATTCTAGTATTTTCAATTCTTCAAAACATTGTTCGTCTCATACTAGGTAATAGCCTTAAAATCATTCAAAAGAGTAAAAACGAAGAAAAAAAATTTAAAATGTTACATTACCATAATCATTGCCGATGATCATATACAGGTATTAGTCTTCTTATGTGTTTAGATATAATATTTACAGTCATATCAAATGCATCGTAAAAAAAGAAATTTTCTATATTGGATTCCGAAAAAATCTTTCATTAATTTTTAGCTCTTGGGCAAGGCAAAAGTAATTGAGAATGGCTAATAGTTATTTTTCTTGATTGTCAGAGTTATCTAGTATGTTTGAGACTTAAGTCATCTTGGTGGAATCAAGTCTGTCCTCAGCTTAATATCAAGCTTCTATGGATCCGAATTTTTATTGTCTTTTGTCCCATAAATATGAATTTTTTACCGCATGGAGAAGTTTTTGTACATGAGATTATTAGATCTGTCATTCTAATAATCAATTCGTAAATCTATATCACACAAAATAAAATTTATTCCATCGGACTCACCATAAAGTAATTATCTGCAGCATCATAATTAAAGTTTCAGACAACCTTGACATACATATTTTTCGTCAATTAATAAATATTAACTACTATTTATTTGTTTCTATGAAGTCTCAAAGAGAAAAATGAATTCAACACTTTCTGGTAAATTTCAAACTAAAAGTACGAGAAAGGAAATAACCTTTATCTTTCTTAATTCTACCAACTCTTGGTTTTTTTATTATGGAATAAGAGATTATCCTAGTTATTAATTATTTTTTTATTGCATTTTCTGGAAGTGATTACGAAAATGAAGTACTCCACTTGTCCAATGTATAAAGAAGTGAAGAACTACTTTGATCTTTCTTTACTACATGATGTTTATTGGGCATATGCATATGTCCGAAATGTGACTGATTCGAATTCAACAGAAGCTTATGTGGAAGATCGTAAAATAGAGAGTGGAATAAAAGACACATCAATGGTTGGGAGTTGATCAAATAAACGAAGTTCAAAAATAATTCAAAACTTCTACATTTATTTATAGAAATATATCCATACAATTACAAAAAACTTTATTATTATCTAGTAGGGTCAACAAGAATCTACTAGCATCTATTAGAATCTAGTAGGGTCTACTAGAGTCTTGTATGATACACTGTGGTCTGTCACGATTTGGCACCGACGACATCATGAGAGATTTGGTGTATGTCGTTTTGCAGTGCCCATAAGATATATAAAATACAGACTATTTGAATTATCCAACGATAATTCAATAGGATAATAGGAAAGAAAGAAAATAAGATCAGTGACATGTCATATGAATATCGTCATTTTCGATAAGTAGATATTATTCTTTTGACTTGATTGGCCTGAATAACTTTCACTCCTAACTGCTTCAGATAATTGATTGTGTATGTATCGATACCTCTTGTAGCATCTTCGATGATATACGTATTATAGTTCAAATTAAATGCATCATAAGCAGTTGCTGATACACAATAGTCCGTTGCTAATCCAGTAAGAAAAACATGTGTAACATCATGTTCTCGAAGTTTATCATCAAGCTCGGTTCGAATAACACCTCCATTATCCATAAATGTTGAATAGCTATCAATATCAGGATCGGTACCTTTTCTAATATGTATTACTTTGTTGTTGTTTGATGAAACATATAGATTTTTATGCAGAGCAGCACCTTCTGTTCCTTGTATGCAATGTGTGGGCCATAGCACTTGTTTTGTTTTTAATTTTGGACCAGTATATGTTACTTCATCAAACATTTTTATTTGTCGAATGTTTTTATCTTTCAAATACTTTCGACGGGATTTGATATTTTCAAAAAATGAAATATGATTTGGCGGATGCCAGTCATATGTATATACGACTAAATCAAACGGAATCGTTTTAATTAAATGATTAATAATTGGGACAACTTCAGCACCATCCTGATGAGCAGGACCATGAGATAAAGCAAGATTTCCGGTAATAAAACAATTTTGAACGTCGACCACAATTAATGCACAGACATTTTCGAATGACTTTTTCTCTTCAAGACTAAAAAATAAATACTTAAATTTTTATTGTATTAAAACTAACCTTCTCGTGGGTTAAGGGCTATAAAAGTATAAATAATATTTTTTATTACGGCAATGTCTAAGATTAGTAGATTCAATAACTTATTCGTCGTATTTGAAATAAAAAGAAAATATGTGCATATTTATTTCATTAATTAAACATATTCTAACGCTAAAAAAAATATAACATAAAATTTGAAGTAGATAAATTTAGACCCTGTGAAAATCGATAGTAGAAAATTTTGCTTCTTTTTTTTTTTAAGCAATGACAATAAGCTTTACTATATAGATTGCACATCTTTAGAGCACTTGTAATACGCTATGTGATCAATATTCAAATCAAAAACTGTTTAAACTGATAAGTGTAGAGCGGCAATTTATAGGAGTTAAACCCTGGTACATTCATCAACTTATTCTTCTAATGTTTCGATTTATTCTTGAGGTATGAAAAATGGAAAGCATTTAACACTCAGTAAAAATTGGGTAGATTATGTAGTATTAGAAATTTTTATGTCTTAATAAGTAATTTGTAAAAATAGTAAATCAGTTTTCGCCGCTTTCTACTATCAATATGATATAAACAAGGATAAATGAAAGAAATCAAATACATCTAAATAGATACTCGAATTCAAGTAAATCTAACGATTTCTTTCTACATAAGAACCTATTTTGGCAAAAATATCCTGTGTCATTTAAACAATGAATATCACATTAGAGACTTTTTCAGGAAAGAAAAACATTTGAAGACTAAGAATGATCTTAAAATTTTGTCAAGTAGCTATACTTTTTGAAATAAAATCACTTACTTTTCGTGCTTTTATAAAATTTTGTGCATCATAAATAGAACTACATCGTTCTGTATCGATGGTTTTCTTTATAACTAATTGACTCTGATTTGTGTCAATATATACGTTTTGAATATTATGGTACTTTGTGTGCATTCATCCATGCACATTAATAAATTGTGCATGGTTATTAAAGAAAATATTTCATCTACTTTTGGTAAAAAATTAACGTTTCTTAAGGCCACCATCCCCATCATAAAGTTCCCATCTTTATTCGATTCTTTACTTTAGCTTTGGATGGTTCGACCTAGCTGAAATATTCAGGAAAGATCTATCCTATGTTGGGTATCTTACAGTAAAAATTTCAGCTTGATACATTGAGTCTACAAAGAGTTATCTTAAGATAATTAGTGTATCGACGTCTCCCAAATCGTTCTGCTATTTCAAACGCTAGAGAAGTCAGGCTGGCTTTAAAATATAGTTCAGATCTGGCGGTACAACTTAACCAAGTTCAACTTTTTTTCATGCCGGACTTTTATTTTTTTGTGTAAGTTTTTCTTATAAAATGCGACAAGAGTAAGGTCTATTTTTGTCATGTCTTATAAGAAAAGCTTACACAAAAAAGTAAAAGTCAGACATGAAAAAAAACCAGACTCTGCTAAGTTGTAGCGCCGGATCTAGGCTACATTTTAAAGCCAACCTGACCTCTCTAGCGTTTGAAATAGCAGAAAGATTTGGGAAACGTCGATACACTAATTATCTTAAGATAACTCTGCGTAGACTTATTGTATTAAGCTGAAATTTTTACTGTGAGATACCCAACACAGGATAGATCTTTCCTGAATGTTTCAGCAAGGTTGGATCATCCAAAGCTAAAATAAAAAATCGAATAGAGACGGGAATTTTAGGGTGGAGGAGGGGGGGGCGCTTAACTTTTCTCTCCTACGCTGCCCGAACAACACCAACGATGCACATATAAAGGTATCTAGTTTTTTTTACAAGTGTGCATAGTAGGTTTCTTAGATGATAGATCAGAAAATTTTCGATAAGAACATGATTAAAATAGCAATTTAATGTATTTTGTGTCTTGTATATGCAGGTGTTTGAAGCAGTGCTTTTCTACTATGATTATTGCTCTTTATGAACTACATATTGATGATGGTATTAGTATATTATCACTTATCTAATAGTCTCATTTTTAGAAAGGTAATTCTATGCTGTCTACAGAGTCGTCCAGAATTTATCGATCAGTCTTTGATTACGAAGAACTTTTAATAGAAATAAGATAGAGAGCTGTGTTATTCACTATCAGAAAGAGAATGCATTACTGCATAATTCCGTGTGTTACCACCAATATGTGCAATGATTACAAAATAATTAGCCAGCGGTCTTCTGAAAAACAATGCTAATTCTACATATCTTAAATAACTTTTGCGCTCTTCGTTTCTTTACGACGTTGTGATTGACTATAGATCTCAGATCAATTTGTTATCACTTCTTATTTGTATACTCTTTTTGTACATGTCCTTTTTCCTTTTTTTTCCTTCTACTATACATTATGAGTCTTTTTTCTGTCAAATATTAGTTTCACTAAAGCATACCGTATCTTTACAAACAGAAACGAATGAATTCTTGTAAGTATATAGATTCATGTGACACCAAACGATGTCCATGTAATAAATATGTACTATATAGAAATAGCACACAAATGGTAATATTAATGTTTAAAAAAATTTTTTTTAAAATATTAATTAAATATCTATCTTTAAAATATTTGTATATCAGGTTAACATACTAATTAGCTCTTGAATAAATTCAACATATTCAACATCAGCAATATCAAATTCTATGAAAATGGCATAAACTTGTAATTTATATATGATGACTGCTATTTAGATGATTGATAAAAAAAGTACACTAATACAAGTATTTTTAAATAAATTATATTTTTCAGAAAGAAAATTGATTTCAAAAGCAAAGATTTTTCAGCTTTTAAAGTTCATTTTAAAAACTGATCATATTTTACATGGCTTTATAATATAATGTGTATTAACTTAAATAACATAAGAGACTTTGCATATGAAGAATAATCTACGTAGAAGAAAGAAAGAAATTTTATTTTCATAACTTATGCATTAGTTTTGATATGATTATTCTGAAAATATTGCATAGCAATCTTTACATAAAACAGCTATAGTCTTTATATTAGTTAATAATCAACTATATTCAGCGACGTTTTAAGTGTTCTTTTTTATTTGATAAATCATATAGATTAGCAATACAAAGTAACACAGTTCCTTTAATAATTTGTGCTATAATATTTTATTTGATGTAAATAGAACTGAAATGATTGTCATAGATTATATGAATTTGTTTCATCAATAATGTATTGAAATTAAAAAATCATTTAGCTAACCAAATGTGATATATTAGATATAATGTATTTTATTGAAGTTAAATCTTGAATTATCATATCTAATTCAATGTGTATATATATTATATTATCACTGCCACTCTAAAAAACCACAACTTGATAATAATCCAAATATATTAAAAACTGTTTTTAGTATTGTCGCTATATAAATCACTACTTAAGTGAACTGAGTAATATGAATATTAAAAAAGAACTGAAATACGATAAAATAATGTTTAATATAGACTGATATAAAGGAAGATTATGAAATTAAAATATATTTGATTTAAATCAAATTTAACAAATAGTTTTAAAAAAAGAAATTAAGTTTTTTCATTCGTTATGTGCTATAAATGTCACATAGTTGTCATTAACATTCATTTTATTATAAAACAGGTCTCAATAAAGCACGATGAATACCGATTGTCATGCAGCTCTTCTTTATTTAAGCATACTATGTATAAGTCTCTGATTATTTGAATTCTTAAAATTAATAAAAATATATTTAGTGATCAAAAAAATTTCATGTTTCTTTAATATATGAACTTGTAGATAATTAATCTCTTTGAAAAATCATTAAACAAAATAATATTTTACAGTTTTGTACTTATGCGCCATTTCGTTTAAGCCACAACCTATGTTGTTCAATTGATGTTTTTAATTTCACTTTTAAAAACATATTTGAAAAGTCTACCAACTAGTGAGTGTTTTGCCACTAAGCACACTCAGACAGGTTGAATTGTTATTGAGAAATTCACCTTCTAATTTTAGCCCAAAATACGATGTAAACCTACCCTTTGTTTACTAAGAAGTCTTCTGTTTTTGATTGAGTTGACATGGAATAATAAAAATTTCAGGATAGATACAGATTACGTAGTCCTACAAAATAAAATCACTCCGAGCTTTAGATGTTGTTTTGCAGCTGAGTCATAGATGTCGCCAGTAGTTGAATTTCAGCAATCGATATCCATTACGTAACTAAACTATAAAATCTGAAACTTGTTAACTATATACTAGGTTGATGAAAGTATATAAAGATGAAAAGAAAACTCTGGGTAATGAAACGAAGTCAGAGATATGAACTTTTTACTAAAATTACCTGGAATTTCGACTAGTTTTGCATATTTTCGCCGAAATTTTGAGACAAAAGGTGCAAATGGACATCATATTCAGAATCAGCATGAAAAAATCGGTCTGACCATGTATATTTCATAGAAAAAACTTTCTATCGAAAAACTCATCTGAGGAGTATCACGGGCGAAAATTTTATAAAAAGCACCTAAGAGAGAGTACGAGTAATTTTTTTATAAATTTTTTTTGAATGAAATTTACATGGTCAGACCGCTTTTTTCATGCTGTTTCTGAATATGATGTCCATTCGCACCTTTT